ATATGAACTGGATCATATCATTGTTGATCGTGTTGGTGCATGTGTTGCATCGACATTGGAGGAGATGGAATGGAATGCGCAAGGCAAAGGTATAACCTAGGGCATTTTATTTCACCGGTCATAGGTGTGTAGAGAAGTTGATGACCGGGTTTAGGATAGATGGCCGTACTATCAAGAGGGGTAAACTTGTTTGCATATCGGTCATATAGTGCCACTTGAGTGATCTAACTTTGCATCGTCGCTATGATCGAGTGGCGTGGCAAGTTGAGTGGCTAATCCTTTAGAAAATGTTTGTGAAAAGCTAACATACATACACATGGTGGTGTAAACTTGGTGATGTTGGCACATTTGCAAAGGAGAAGTTGGTGAAGAAAAGGAGTTAGCCGCGCTGGTCATAGAGTGATCGGACACGTCCGGTATGGCGACCGGACGCGTCCGGTCAAAGTAAATGCGGCTCGGTACTGAATTGTAGAGAGCGACCGAACGCGTCCGGTCACCACACTGGACGCGTCCGGTGTGAATCAGCGAGTGTCGGTGTTCAGTGTAACAGTTGATCGGATGTTGGGAGCGTCCGGTCCAAAGTGACCAGCCATGTCCGGTCGGCCCAGAGCGGCTCTGGGAGCTCTCTGGACTCGATCGGACGCTGCGTCTCCTACGTCCGGTCTAGAGTGACCAGACGCGTCCGGTCAGCCCTAGGAGCTCTCTGGACTCGACCGGACGCTGCGGCTCAGCGTCCGGTCGTTTCTTAACAGCGCGTCCGATGCGTCGTGTCAGAGAGGGCCATTGGCGACAATGACTAGTTTGAATGGGACACATGGCGGGTCAGCTACGACCGGACACAGGCGACCGGACGCGTCCGGTGCAAACGACCTGCGCGTCTGGTCGTCTCGAAATTTGCCCAGTGAAGGGGTAACGGCTAGTTTAGCTTGTGGGGCCATAACTAGAAGGTGGTCTCGACCATGGCTGGTGCCAACCACCTCAGGGGACTTTGTGTCCATGCTTGGTAGTGCTTGGGAGCCCTCTAACTCACTCTAGCTTGATAGTGTTCATCTGATTGAGTGAGTGAGCGATTCTAGTGTGATTGCATTGTGAGGTTGCATCGAGTGGCACTCGGTGATCGAGTTGCAAGCCATTGGTGCTTGTTACTCTTGGAGGTTGCCACCTCCTAGACGGCTTGGTGGTGGTCTCTGTCGAAGCCCGCAAGAAGCTTGTGCGGTGCTCCGGAGAAGAGCTTTGTGAGGGGCATTGTGCTCGCCCCGCGGGAGCTGCGAAGAGCAACTCTAGTAGAGCGTGTCATTGAGCTACCCTCACTTTCGGGGTAGGTTCTTGCGGTGCCCGACGTGCGGGCTTGGCGGGTGATGCCAATTAGCCGCCGAACCACCAAGTGAGTGGTCGACACAACAGGGACTAGCGTGTTGGCAAGCACGTGAACCTTGGGAGATAAATCACCGTGTCATCCTTGTATTCCCGTTGGTTTGCATCCTCCTTACACAAGCTTGTAATTACTTTCATATACATTGTGCTTGTGTAGTTGCTCTTGTAATTAGTTAGCTTGTGTAGCTCACTAGTTACCTTCTCTCTTGTGTAGCATAGAAGTAGCTCCCTTGCGTGGCTAATTTGGTTTGTGTAACCTTGTTAGTCACATTGCTTAGTTTGTGTAGCTAAGTATTTGCGCTCTCTAATTTGGCATTGGTTGCCTTGTTATTGAGCATTGCTAGTGAGCTTAGGTGGCTTTGTGCTTTTGCTTACTAGCATGTGTAGGAGCTCCCTTGTTGCTTAAAGTACTAGTGGCATAGGTTTGTGTAACCTTGCTTCTAGAATTGGTTAGATGAGCTCTAGCTAGCCCGGTACCTTAATTGCTTAATTAGGATCTTTGTAAGGTGCTAGAGAACATAGAAAGAGGGGTGTAGTCTTGGCTAGACCGATAGATTTAATTCCATACTTGTTTCAGTTAGCCGGCATTATTAAGTTTTAGAAATGACTATTCACACCCTCTAGTCGCCATCTCGACCTTACACGGTGGCTACTGATTATATAGCCTAAGAGGCGTCCAAGGACCCCTCTTCACGTCTATAAGGTGTCCCAACACGTTACAAGGCCCAACGGCCCAAAAGATGGCGGTGCAGTGCCCTGATAGATTCTGGACGTCAAATTATTTTGATGATTGCTGTTTATTCTGATGGAATTTTGATGTGGGGTCACTTCCATTTATTAGCTTATCAAATTATCTTTCCATCCATATATGGATCGTCGAAAATGGAGTCCGTATGCGACCTGGGCATCCATTTTACTACACACTGCTCCTGGAGCTCGAGATGGACTCGAACTTGACTTGGATTGGTCCTCCAACTTGGCTTCGACGCCCTTGCTTGGCTCCTAAGGTGGTGGCCAAGGAGGAGGACGTCCTTGGGCATCTCTTAGGTGTTCTCCATCTTCTTGGGGCGTGCTCCAACTTGGGCCTGGGTCCCCGTGTGAATAACAAGCCCACGACGACGTCGTAGCACCCGACAGAAATAGCGGCAGAATATCTTGATGATTTGAAGACCTTGCCGACGTGATATTGAGGTGGGACCAGATCTATTTAAAAGACCTCAAAATCACTCCGGATGAAAGAGTTATGGCCTTCCCAATGGAGTATTGTCGGGCTGCCGATGACCTTATAATCAATGGTCATATCCGAAGGTGTCATGTCCTCATCAGGTCCGACCCTTCCACCGTCTGCTCGCCACTCGGGTCTTGGGAAGTCGGGAGGTCGCTGACCATGGGTACGGTAGGATGGTACTCACGGAGGGGAGCTAAGTCGGCCGCTCTACCTCGTCCTATATATAGGTGGGTCCGCCTCTACATGAGATCGATATATCATATTCAACAACTAGTACTTTTGCAATGCCATGACTTTACCGGGATCTATCTATAAATATACATCACCAATGAGAAAGAACAGTGATATCAAAGCTATGTTTGGAAAACAGTGGCATTATCCAAAAAATGTCGTCCTAATACAAGCAAACATTGGGTGAATTATTTGGCCCACTGAAGGTAGTATATAATCATAACCATCCATGTGAAGAAATATGCATGTACTCCAAAGGTAGAGATACGATTACTCAAGGTGGGGGAAAGAACAAGAAGAAGAATAAAGAAGAAAAGAAAAGAGGAAAGGGAAGCATCTATCTAGTACAGTTAGAAGCATGCACATGATTGTGTCAATCATGTGTGCGTGCCATGTGGTGCCACAAGAATCCAAAGTGCACCGCATTATTCGGTCCAGAAAGAAGTCCACACCACAAGGCTCAGAAAGGCACAGGGATCCAAGAAGAGCACTGCGCCTCTGACGGAGCGGAAGATTCGTGTGCCCATCCGGCCAGCCCAGGCCACCTTTTCTAGCCTCCCTGGTCCCTTCTGCCCGTGGTGAAGTTGGAACGGCTGCCTGCCATTGCCACTTTGGCAGAGGAGAGAAAGAGAACCTTCGCCCCATGTCCGTCCGGCCTCTTCTTGCAGATTATATATCAGTTTAATTAATTAACTATAAGAACGTGGATCAAGTGACGACTGAAGATGATTAAACATACTACATATACAGAGAGGAGATTCGTCACCTTGGAGCCAAAATAAAAAAGATTTGCAGTTGCAGTAGAGAAATGTATGCAGGGCTGGTTGGTTGGTAGGTCGTGCAAGTATTCTATCCAAGTCAACCGCTGGCGCAGTGAGCATTAGTACTGAATAGTGACTGACTGACAGTTTTACTCCATTCCCCGGCGCCGATCCCGAGGCCGGCTAACCACCTCACTTTCAGTCTTGTCATTGGTGCCATGTAGTACTATGGCAATAGTAAACACAGCACAGGGGGAAGCTTCTTGCCGTTCCAGATCGAGGTTGCCACATGAGTGCTAGGCCAATAATCTGCAGGGGGCAGTCAGGGATCAGCGTCGTCTCGATCGATCGTTTCCAAGCTGTAGCCCTGTAGGTAGCTCATGCCGAACATGCAGCTAGAACTGTAGCCATGGCGGTCCCTCCCTGGATCCGTCCTCAATGTATATATGTACTTGATAATTGACGCCATGCTTGCATAAGTAGATGCCAAACAGGACAGAAGAGCAGGTGCTGACACTCTGACTGCAGATCATATCGATCGAGGCCCATATGACCTGCACATGCACGCATGTTCGGTTCGTTCCTTCTCCTTCCTGGCCGGCGCCTCGTGCGAGAATGGATCGACGTGTAAAGACCACCGGCATGCAGCTAGTAGAAGCCAGGGAGAGAGAGAGAGTGGGGGACAGAGAGAGGTGCAGCGACAAGGAGGAAGACAAGCAACATGCGTGCTACACGCCGGCCCTCCTGATGAGCTAGCTAACTAGTTGGTGTGCTTGCCAGGCAAATGCTGCCCTTTGCAGGCAAATTGCATTGTTGCTCTCCCTCTCCCTCATGTGCTTGTGCTTGTGCCTGTGCCTGTGCTTGTGTTGCATCTCCAACCGAGCTGAGAGCGATTCTGCTTGCTAGCTAGCTAGCTTTCACACACGCAATGCAATGCAATTATTCAACGAGATCTCAGTTCCTGATGATGCATGATTGGACCGATCCTAGTTAAACGAATGTAGTAAATGAAGCTTGTTGGATAAATTAATTGTGAATGCTAATATATCAATGTAACCGACGGATACATGCATGCCTGGCCATGAATTATATATTCAACAACACTTGTGAACATCATCCTTACTTATGCCGAATAATGTAACTCTACCATCTCTCTGTCTCGTATGTTACAGTTTACAGTCATTCGCGCATGCAACAATTGGTAAGTACAGTAATGTGATCATGTACAATTAAGTACACACATGAATGAATAATGCAGAGCAGACTGATGGATTGGATGGATGGATGATAGTGCCTCTGGCTGACTTGAGCTGTATTGAAAATTGATCAATTCCTGATCGAGTCCTCTGACTCTGACGCGACGCGCGATTCCCTCTGCATGCTAGCTGAACCTGAATCCGATCTGATCAGTTGACCTTGTTGCACTTGAGCCTGACCTCCCCGGGCGGCCCGGTGAGCACCTCGATGCTACCCATCTTCACCATGGCCGCCGCGAACCGCTGCGACCAGAGCGTGCGGTTAGCGGCGTAGAGCGCGACGAGCGCGGCGGTGTCGCTGCGGTCTCCGAGCGCCTGGTCCGAACCAAACACCACCTCATGCGTCACCACGTTGCGGTAGAACTGGTTGTCCAGCTGCAGCGGCGTCTTGAAATCGAGGTCCACCACCCGGTCCCTCCTGCCGGTAGCGGCGGGGCACTTCGCGCGCAGCCGCGACCCCAGCGTGACGTTCAGCGTGGCGTCCAGCTGCGGGTAGAGCCGGGTGGGCGCGAAGGAGGAGCAGTGGGAGCGGCCGATGGAGTGGGCACCCGACAGCGTGACGAGGTCGTCGGCGGTGAGGTTCTTGGACGCGAAGCGCGCCAGGAGCTGGGTCAGGGTAAAGGACGCGGGGGGCAGGTTCGCCGTCGCCTCAGTGGCGTTGGAGACGAGCCCGTCCAGGCGGCCGGAGGGCATGGCGAAGCGGATCCCGCCCATGATGCGCGCCGCGTCGCGCGCCGCGAAGGCGACGATGTCGGCGCACGAGACTCTTCCCGGGCATCGGCGCTCCACCACGCGCTTCGCGCGGTTGATGACGCTGAACCCGCGGAGGCTTGGGAAGTTGGGTGGCGACGTCTTCTCCACCGTCCTGCTGCCTGGAGTGCCCGTCGGGTCGTCCAGCAGCACCGACGCGTCGCATCCCTGAAATGGGGTGAGTGAGTGCGTGCATTGTTTAGTTTGTTGCCTTTCCGGCAATGGCATTGGCAGCAGCACAGCAGCACGGCAGCAGCATTATGGATGGATGTGCGTACCCTGACGAAGCAGTCGTGGAAGAAGAGGCGGATGAGGCCGGGCCCGTTGCCAGCGTCCTTGCGGACGGCGGCGTGGACGATGGTCTCGATCAGCTTCTCGGCGGCCGGGCAGGTGGTGTTGTAGTACCCCACCTGCAGCTGCGCCTCCGAGGAGTAGAAGCATGTCACCATCACGGCGACAGCCACTATGACGAGCTGCCGTACATGGACGACGACCTCATCAGCTCTGGTGCCGGCGCTCATCGTCCCTGCTACAACTGTACTGGCTACCCTATGAATGATGGATAGAGACGATCGAGAGCACCGGCCCACAGCTCACAAGCTAGCTGGGTAGCTTGTGAGCGGACTACACTCTGTATACTGACAGATGGAAGGTGGAGTAGCAAGGAAGTAGATCAAGAACCTTTTATATATATACAGATCGATGGAACGGACGATAGTGTATTCATGTGCAGAGATACTATACACACTCAGTCAGTGGTGAGGTGAAGAACGTAGCTAGGACTAGGTACTGTCTATACGTAGCTAGGGAGGAGGAGGAATAACATGGCCACCATCCACACCAGCCACGCGCAGCCAGTGTGTCATCTGGAACATGGCATTCGAAGCGGCGAGGCCTGTAGTTTTGACCAGCTAATTAAACGAGCGGACGACGAATCTTGTCTTGTCCAATTACAACCTGCAGAGCGCAAGCAGTGTCCTGCAGATCTGTGCCGTGCTTCGCGCCTTCCCCTTCGCGCGCTACCGATCCATCGGCAGTAAACGGTGGGCTGGCTGTATAGCCTGTAGCCTGTAGGGGAAAAAAGAAATACATGGTGGCAGTGATACCAGAACTGAGACACGACTCCTATCAAAAAAAAAAGAACTGAGACACGACAAGAAGAGAACGACGACGTCCGATCCGTCAGGTAATTTGGCGCCATGAATTGAGAGGCCGGGACTGGGCGGAGTGGTGTGGTAGTGCCGTAGTGCTCTTCGCCTGATACATCTAGCTAGCTGGATCCGTGGATTCAGGGCGTAAATCCATCCATTCCAGCGTCATCAGGTTCAGTTTGTTAGTACTTAGTAGCAGTAATTTACTGCGTTTGGCTTCAGATCCAACGACCCTATAGAGCTGCCGTAAGGAGCACTAGTGCTATCTACGAGTACGTCCGAGCCTCATGCACGCTGGCTGCTGTTACTATTGCTCTCATATGCATATACCCTCGGACACCGCTCCACCATGGAGGTGGAGCTCGCCAAGGTGATCGGCGACATAGTCCAAACTCTATCCCAAAATTGAGAACCTGGCTTGGAACGAAGATGACGCCAGCGGAGAGGACCTCGTTGAACAAGCGAAAACCACCATCGCGGGCAGCTCCTCCGATCCCAGCATCGGCAGCGACTTGAGCCACCGAATATCAGCGGACACACATGGCGCGTCCCTAGCGCGCCAACCGTCGTGGTTTCATAACCACGGTTACTGGATTTATCCTAGTTCAGGCATTGAGCCCTACGTCCAACAAAAGTGTTCTTCGTGTTAGAGTTTTCTAAGAAACCGAAACCAAAAGAACTATAACTGAAAAAAATAGTTACTTATTCAGTTCCAGATAGCAAAGAATTGACATAACCGAAGAAACTTTGGTTCCAACTCTCATATAACCGAAAGAACTAAAACACCCAAATTGTACTTCACTTATTACTTGCATTTGTATGACTTTATATGATTATTTTAGTGTGATGTCTCATATTGATCATTGTTATATATTTGTGTTACTATATTGCTATTATTCCCTTATCAATTATGATTATCTAAAATAGAGGTAGTGTTGCTTAAATTTGCTTTAGAACCTACTTAATTATTTGTTGTCTTAACCTCTGTCGAAAAAATTTGGTTAGTTCGTTTAGAACCGGAACCGAACTGAAATAATAGAAAACTAAATTGCTCGGTTCCTAAAATTTCTTAGAACCGACCTGTTCCTATTTTCTAGGAACTGAATTTCTTCAATAACCGAGGAACCGAACCGAGACCAAACGAAAACCAAATGCTCACCCCTATCTTGGGTTCCCTGGCCCTGCTTTTATAGCTCAAGAGGGACAACAACGTACAAAAAGGATAGTTCTTCGTTCTTCTTGTCCTCCATGAAGATAACTTTCTTGATCATATTGTTGTGTTGTGTCCAGGCTCTTTTCTCCTCTGGGTCTTCTGTCCATTGGAGGCGCCGCCTAGGTTGGCTTCGATGGTCGTGGCCGAGAATCCTGTCGCCGGCTACAACTTTTGCAAGCAGCGAACATAGGGGTCTGAATCCCCTTCTCGTTCGCACCCAGTTTAGCTCCACCTCGCCGTCCCTTACATCGTCCCTTACACGCCAAGAACCTTGATCTTGGGGGGTGGGGGAGGGGGGACTGACGTGCGGGCTCAAATATCTGGCTTCTCAGCAGACGACGAGACCAGAGCGTGTACCTTGTCATGTTTCGTCGCCTCGGGCATGACCCTAGTTGGGATAAGCAGGAGATGCCTGGCAAATGGCTGTTGGTATTTATTAACATGTCACTTGTTTAAGTAGCCACCTAATGTTGTTGACATTTCTTAACATCACTTTTGCTAAGTTGTCATCCCTAGTTATGATGCCAAAAATGTTTGTTGGTACTTTCTAGCATCACCTCTAGAATGACACCAAGAACTACTTAAGTATTTTATTATGACTAGAAAGAATGCAAATATATATGAAAGGATCTGCAAGCGCACAGATAATTTACCATTGTAGCATTTCACCCGGGAGTATTCCAGGTATCGTTATTTATATTTTTACAACAGGGAAGGACAGTCATATGGAATATATTGATAACTTATACGTATGATGGAGAAGTAAACCATAACCAACTTCTACTCATAACAGGGGTAAGTCAAGAGATAAATATGATAAGTAATGATAAATGATAAATGATCACTCAGAGTACTCCTTTCTATGGCATTAGCATTGCTATGTAGAAATTAGAGGAATAATTCCTAAGTTATTCTTAATTATAAGTCAAAGCATACATTGATTAGTGTAATTACACTGAGTAGTCATGGCTAAGATCAACTTCATATCTACACATAAGGGATATTACTAAGGAAGATTAAGGACAGATCTTGTCTTCCTTCGTAACTAGATCCGACATGTCCTATATTCGGGGAGCTCTGAGGATGATCAGGGTTTCTTGATCTCTTGAATGACTAGGGTTTGATGCCTCAGAGGGGGTGGCAAGGGCTGCTATATATAGGTCAGAGTGTCAATCCTGAGCCCTCGGATCAAACAGACTTGAATGGATGGCGTAGATGCAACCTAGGAGGCGATAGAGAACCGACATAACAAGGTGGAGGCTGACAGGGGGCCCCATAGGCTGGCCGGCCTACAGGTGGGGTCGGCCGGCCCCACCCTGCAGTGTCTCGCGGTCTTCTTCGGTGGTTTGGCTTCTGGTGTCCTCTGGAACCTTCTAGAGTTGTTTTCGCTGCGGATAAGCGTGATTACTTCTGACATCTAGGTCCACCTTGACGGATTTCTGAATAAACCCTGCTAAAAACACAGATTTACCAAAACTCATGGAATTTGTTAGTTTAAACCCCTAAACCTATGTTGGTGATTATATCCATGCCCTTATACATGTTACATTGACGATTTATAATGTTCATTAACTACCGTCAATAATGGCCTTGAGGACAATGGCTGGCTCATAATAACATGCTGATGTTAGATGGTAGTTTCATGGTGTGTGCTTGTTAAGGCTCCCAAGTCACCGACTTGGTCTGGGCTCCTGAACAATGGGAGAGCAGATGAGCCTTAGGTAGGAAGTCTTCGGCCCTCTCATGTTGAGCGATGTGCAACCGAGCCCACCCCCTGAGTGCCAGGGAGATTGGTCTAGGTTGGGGGCCCAAGCCCTGTTGGCCTTGGTTGATATCCAGTGTTGGCACGCGAGTGCACTCGCTAGGTGCATCCCCCGAGCCCCTGGGTTGGTTGAATCAGTCGGGGGTTAATCTCATGGTAAAGTCACTTAATCACTAAAGTTGAGTAACCCCGGCCTTGAGTATTCATCATGAGCCACCGAACCCCTTGCGGTCTCTCCAAGTCATTCTTCCTTGGCTGTTCACCCTGCAAGGTCATGGTCCCTGGACTTAGGTCAATGCTTGTCGAGGGATGTGAAGAAGCCGACCCATCTTTTGGGCTCGGTGATGCCTTCGGTGAGTTCAAACCAATCAAGCCTAAGCGGTGCCCAGACAATCCCTTGGGGGCATTTGGCTTGGGCCTACATGAGGGACTCTGCTTACCTAACTCACCATGGGCCGAGCGACTAGCTTGAAGCCTAGTTGTCACCCGGGTTCCCATCCCCGTCGAAGGGTTTGGTGGCAGTTTCATTGGCTTAGGATGCATACCGTACGATGGTCGGACCGCTACTTGGCCCACCGTGGGGTACCCATCACTCGTTCCCTAGGTTCGGAGGCGGCCACATGTCATCCGCGACTGTAACGCCTCGGGATCCAAAATTTGCTTACATGGCCTAGCTCCTCATGTGCAACGGGCCCACATATGCGTAGCACCTCCTTACACTTCTGTCCTTGCTTGTGTACTAGGGTTAACCCAAAGGTGCTTTGTTTGGAATGACAAGGATTATAAGTTGGTCCTCACCCTCTTAAACTTTCAAGGTGGTACTAACCCACCAACTACCTATCTTACACTTTCGTCCTCGCTTCGTATAGAAAGGGTTAACCCGAAGGTGTGCTTGAATGACAAAGATTAAAAGTTGACCCTCACCCTCCTAAACTTTCAAGTGTATACTAAACCCACCAAACTCCTCATGTGTCACATGGGCCACCACTATACCACAACCCAAAATTAACTTTTGATGAGGCTCATTAGAAATACCAAATAGTGTTGGGAGGTCGGATGTTAAATATTAGTAATGTTCGGTCGGTCATTATTTCTCGTTTTCGCAATAGACTGTCAGTCTGCATTTTTATTTTGCTTTACTATTAGACAGTCTGTTATTATATCCTAGTTTTATCGACCAACTGGCTGTTAGTACATAAGATTGGGCTCGCGCGCACTCGACTAGCTCAAATAGCATCATTAATTAGCTAAGTAAAACAATTAAGTAGCTAATTGAGGGGGATATGTTACAGGGAACATAAGAATGTTGGGGGTGCCGCCCCCCCCCCCAGCCCCCTTTCCTCCGCATGGGCGGCCCTTGTCATTGTGGCGTCCATGGCGCACATTTCGCACTCGTCACTATTAGAAATGGAAATGTTTTTGTCCGATCCCAAGAACCAACAGAAAAATATGAATACTGACAAAGTAAATATATTTTCCTGTCGGTTTTTCTATTATCGACAGAAAAATTCTTAATTCTTAATTCCCATGTGTGTCTAGATTATATGGACAGAAAAAATAATTTCAACAAGCCACGAGACCTGAAACTCCCATCCTACTTGGGCCTCGGCTGCGCTGGCCTTTAAGCCGGCCCAAAAGCGGGGGGCCCGCCTGGCTCCACCGCCCTCAACCTCACGCAGTCACGCCCTCTCGTTGCTCAAAAAAAAAAAACCACGCCCTCTGTTCCTCACCTCTGTCAACCGCGGCGGCGCGCCACTCCGGCACGGCGCGGACCCGAGCGGCGACGTTGTCTGAAAGTACCTGAGGAAATGAGGGTCTGTGGGAGCGCTGAGGCTGTGAGAGCGCAGTAACGCACGCACGTGCAGTCGTGCAGACCATTCGTCGGCGGGGTGCGCGTGTACGGAGAGGGTCGCAGCCTGCACGTAACTTGTTCGATGGAATGCCGCAGTCTTCTGGAGACCTTGTTGCGGACCAATGCCCCGCTCTGCGTGCTCGCGCTAGCCATCTGCGGGATGCGCGGTGCCCACCGCCGCAGCATTCACTTCGTGCCAAGCCTGGCCTTGCCCGACGAGGACGATGTGCGAGACCTCGCCCCGCCTCCGCGGCGCTGGTACCGGGCCGCATACGCCCGGCTCCTCCGGCATGCGGGGTCACTGGCAGAGTTCGAACACGCGGTCGGCCTTCCGCTGCAAGGGGCGACGGGGTCCCTCGTCGCATGCCCGCATGCCGCCGCCCGGGCCGCGCACTTCGACGCGCTCGCGGGTGAGTTCGTCGCCGCCGCGAGCCATGCCACACGCCGCCGAAGATGAAGGCGACGTCGCTGAGCTCACTGACGCAGGTCTGCGACGTGCTCGGCGTATCGGCGCAGCGGAGGAAGAGCGTGCGGCTCACCGTCTGCCCGCAGGTGACGCAGCACCACGTCTGGCGGGGCGCTCTCGAGGCGGTGCTCGGAGATCTCCAGACCGACATGGCGTCGCTGGACAGCCCTTCCCTGGCAACCCAGATGGCCGAGCAGATCACGTCTGCCTGAACCCGCTTCCTGTCGGACACGGTGACGTCCTCGTCGCCGTGCTGGATGCGCCCGACGCCGTTTAAGAGACCAGCAGAACCGCCACCTCCGGCCAAGAAGTGGGAAGAAGTGCTTGACATGTTTACTGACCTCATCAGGAGCCTGGATACTGACGATCTGACTCACTGGGCACGCGCAGAAGGTAGAGGCCATGAAGGCGGGGCTGTACCAGATACGCGATGTCGTCATTGAGCGGGACATCGCCTTCAAGGAGGCGTGCCGGCAGGACTGCCTGGTGCAGAGGAAGCTGTCCAAGAGCCTGGGCCACTCCTCCAGGTGCCTGTACACGCTGCTCCTCTTCTACTTCTATGGCACCGTCCGGGACATGGAGGTGCACGTCGGCAAGTGCATTTCTGGCAAGGGAGGCAGGAATGTTGCCATTCACGCCGCGAAATTCCTGACCGACGGTGATGAGTTGATGGCCAGGAGCAGCGTCAAGCAGCTGAGCCGCGCTCTCGGCGTCTTCCGGTTTGTCTGGGAGGCGGTGAATACTGGCTGTGATAGTGCCAATCACAATGGCAAAGATGTTGTGGTCAAGAAAAAGAATGAAGATGCAAGGGGTGTGTTGGAGCTGCAACGGCATCTCTGGAGCTGCGGCGTTGAGGACAAGACTGTAACATACAGAGGAGATGTTTTCCATATGCATGAGATCCAATTACCATGAAGTCTTCTTTCTCCCACACATCTTATGCAAAATCCAGCCATATGGACAAAACATGTACAGGTGCAATCTGAAATGCTACTCTTTTTCACCAGCTCTTCTCTGAATTTGTACAAAGGCCTTCTCTGAATTTGTACAAAGGCGATGCGAATGCATCCTGGGTCTATTTGCACCTGTATATATATCAGCGCCTGGCGCTTTCTTTAAGATTGGGGATTGGCCCAACACCTGATGAGTGATTAGTGAGTATCTGGTTAGGTCTTTCATGAGTTAAGACCATCAATTTACACTTAGCACCATATCCTTGCAACAATGGTTTATATATGGTTGCTTCTTGTTACACACACATGAACGAATTGAGGCATGAATGAATTGATATAACATAGTACTCATAGCTTGTACAAAAAGTCTTTTAATTTGATGAACATGAACAAATAAGATAGGACTAAAATAAAGGTCACCTCACAGTTTGAATGGTATGTTGGTCTGGTAATTATTAGAAATTGTAAATCTGAATTATGCTTTAGTATTCGATGTTTATATATAGCTGTAAAATCAACTTATAGTTTGCCTAATTCTTGAACTTCATGAATTTTCTTTTAACACCAGTTATAGTCTCTCTTGATTTATCCTATCTAATAATAAAATCCTTGTTCAGGTGCCACTGAAGCCTGAGTTGAATCCATGTACAATACCATAAGGTCTTCAACTAGGGAGTTTGGTGAGACATGAATAAGAGTCGATCTGATCTAGCCACCAGGAGTACGTGGGAGCGCGTTGTTCCATACTTCCAGCTTGATCTTTGCGAGGGGCTCCAATTAACCAAGATCAGGACATAGTCACAGCATTCATGTTATGCCTGGTAAAAAACAACGGTAATGCGATGATTAGGGCGTAAGCTGCCAGACGCAAGCCGCACGCACGTTCCGCTCTCCAACTCCATGGTCGCACCCCAGCCTTCAATTGAGGTCCGTGAAAGGGGACCGTGACGCCTAAGAGGGGGGTGAATTAGGCAACTTAAAAGTGTAACTCTAAACTATGGCCTCTTTTTCTAACCTTAGCAAAACATATGCAAAAGTATAAACTATCTAAATGTGCAACTATGGTTTTTCTAATGTGTTGCTATCTCTATCGCAAAAGGAGTTATGCAAACAATGTAAATGCGGAAGCTAAAGAGTAAGGTAGAGATATGCAAACTCCCGCGTCGACTCCGGTATTTTTACCGAGATATCGAGAAGCGCGCAAGCTTCCCCCTAGTCCTCGTTGAAGCCCCTCGTAAGGGTCAAGCTCCCGGTCGGATAACTCCGTGGATAGCCCCGGGCCTTCCCCACGCTCAAGTGAGTCTTCGGTGTGTCTTCCAGCAAGTCTCTCCCGGATCGCTTTCCGCCGCCTTCACTATCAAGCTTCCGGCTGAACCGCCGCGGGCCTTGTTTTCTTCGGTACATGGTGGCGGCCACACCACAAACGCGGTTGGTGTGATCTCGCAAGACTACAAACCCCTTCGATGTACAACAATTGTGCGCCCAAGCACCGAGTGATAAGAGGTATGCAAACCTCACTAAACACTAGGCCTAAATCTAGAGCAAGCGCATAAGCGATGGTCTAATCAACCTAAGCACTTCGCAAAGCACCTACACTAATCACCTAATGAATCACTAAGCACTATGCAAGTAGAGATCACTAAAATGGTGTATTAACACCCTTAGTATGTTTCCTCAGCTCCACTATCCTCAAATAGCCGGTTGGGGGTCTATTTATAAGCCCCACTGAGAAAGTAGTCGTTGGGGACGAAACCCACTTTTCTGCTACTGACCGGAAGCTGATCAAGTTCTGACCGGATGCGTCCGGTAGTCCCGACCGTTGGAGCGCGCGCGTTGATCGGACTCGGCTCAGAGTCCGGTCATCATCGACCGGACGCGTCCAGTCGCGCTGGCGCCGCTCTTGAACCTCTCTGGACTCGATCGGACGCTGCACTTCGTGCATCCGGTCGTCCAGTGTGCTGCGTCCGGTCACGCTGAAAACACTGCCGTGATGATGAACAGTGTTACCGACGTGTCCGGTCACTGCTTTGCCCAGCGTCCGGTCACAGCTACCGACGCCTTCTATTGCCTGGCACCTGATCGGAGCGTCCGGTCACTGATAGGGCCGCGTCCGGTCACCTATGCCAGGCTCATTTCTTCACGATCTTGCGTCCGGCTTGGTTCCAATCTTCGTGCTTAGACTTTGCTTGACCTTGTATGTCTTCTATGCATCTTCACATGTCTTTCTTGAGGTGTTGATCATTGGATCATCACGTCGCCTTCATCCAAGTCACGTCTTGCACCCTATTGAACTACAAAACAATCACTTGCAAATTCATTAGTCCAATTTGGTTGTGTTGGTCATCAAACACCAAAATCCAAAGTAAATGGGCCTAAGGTCCATTTTCCTCATAATCTCCCCCTTTTTGGTGATTGATGACAACACGACCAAAACAAGCAAATAATGAAAATTTTGAAATTTAAAAACTATTTACTTGCTAGGATGCAATGCAAAGGGCAAGGTTATATGATGCTAAAAGATACCACATGTAAACATCTTTGGAAACTTATCTTGTCCTTGCAAAAGTCCCCATGTGGCATTACGGATTTAAGTCTCCCCCTAACTTCATAATCCACTATCCTCCATTTCTCGGACCATTACCAATTGAAAACTATTACTATTACAGTTTGTAAATTATAATGATCGGGCTTGCTTTTGGTCCTACAAATTCTCTCCTTTTGGAATCAATCACCGAAAAGGAAGACATTAGTAGCACAAGAGAGGGTCAAACTTTGTGATCCTTTGTATGTGGCGTGGAATATGTCATAAAATTTAACTCTCACATTACATAGACTAAGCTCCCCCTATATTCATACATATGATAGAGAATGTAGTTTATGCATAATTGGCAAATTAATGCTCAAGGGAGTTTAATCTATATAATGCATTGAGAAAGTATATAAATACCAAAGTGAAATCAACATGATGATATCGGTTTAGAAATACCACATGTGGAAACCAATTTGATTTATACCACTTGTAATAGGTGATGGATATTTGAAGTATGATGCTTAACTCCGGGGACTCCATTTTCCTTGCAATGAGACTACTACACACATGATAAGCTTGAAAAGGTGTTAGTCTCAAAGCATCCAACTTGTAGAGTAACCTTCCCCTAAATTTGTGCACACAAGTATGGAATACTTGTAGGAGACATGCATATTGCACTACAAACTTCTAACCCTTGCGCAACGACGAGAAAACGTTGCAATAGGCCCAATTTTGTTGCAAAAGGTAGTTCATACCACGAAATCGTGTTTGTTGGCAATGGTTGCAAAAAGTCACGTTGCAATAAGAACTTGCAACCGTTGCTAGTTTGGCGTTGCAAGAGTTAGCTTTTCTTGCAACGTTGCCAAGCGTTGCAATAGGACGTTATCGCAACATTCATTGGCGTGGCAATACGAGCACTTGCCACGTTCGTCTTCGTAGCGAGAGGTGGTAAATACAACGAGCGATAGCGTGGCAATAGATTTTTATTGCCACGCTATAATTTTGTTGCTTAAGGTGTTGTTGCCACGACCGTTGTGCCGTGGCAAGTAAATCATTTGCCACGCAAATGTAATCGTTGCGAGAGAGTGTACATTATTGCCACGCTTGTCTTGGCGTGGCAATAGTATCATTTGCCATGCAAATTTATCCGTTGCGAGATACCGTTCATTATTGCCACGGCCACGTTGCTGTTGCAACAGTATCATTTGCCACGCAATTTTATTCGTTGCGATATACCGTTCATTATTGCCATGACCTCGGTGTCGTTGCAACGGTAGAATTTGCCACGCAATTTTATTCGTTGCGGAAGATTAATTGTTGTTGCAACAATAGTCATGCCGTGGCAATAGTATTATTTGCAACGTAAATAAGTCTGTTGCCATACAACATATTGCCACGCATCACGGCTCGTAGGTATAGCTTTTATTGCAACGCTAGTAACATTTAATTTTGGTTTAATAAATCATCATTGCAAATCAATAAACCATATCAAAAGCAATTGCACCCACATATATTAATTATAATTAATCATTCAATATGTTGCCAAACCCATGAAATAGTAGCTAAAATCATAAACGAGTGTACAATTAACTCATTATTTGACAACTTTTTACAAACTTCCTAACATCTATGCAGCACTTGAGAAATTCCTAGCAGCCCAACATGTCGTCTTCTCGGCTATGTCCTCGCTTGATTATGAGCCTCCCACCGAAACCTTGTCCACCTACTGCCAAAAGAATATGATTGGGATATTAGAACAATATTAAGTTTACTAATTTTTGCACAAATGTAAAGAGATGAAGATTTGGATAGAATATGGTTGTAATTAAGCAAAAGTAGAATTAAGCAAAATGGAATGAGTGTTGTCAATTTAATTAAGCAAAAGTAGAACTAAAAATTACAAAGCCTAGTACTACAGCAAGTACTCAATGAACAGCACCTCCTGCTGGGAGCCGCATACAAATCATTAATGATGAAATACAGCACAAAAAGACATTTTGACATTATAAGAACTGTGCACAAGGTTGTCTGATAACATATTGTAGTTATTACCATCTTCTTTTTCTAATTTCTTGTTTTATTCATCAGCTGCTATGAACCAATCCAACCCATGAATTTCTAACTAAACATATTATGTTGATGGCACACCAATCCATTTCAGTTCTTGCAAAGGATTATGTGACAGAATATATATATACACACACACATTGGAAAAGGTATAAAAAGGTCGAATGCATGCAGACAGAAAGATCAACAAGAATTTTCTTTTACCTTTTTCAGCTCCTCAAAGTTTGCTATTGTAGACCGCTACAAGTTTCCTTTATGCCTGGTGTGTCCGAAGAAGCGACTGTGTGAAAAACAAATACAAGTAGGGGAGGTAGCATAGAGCATCTATCTGTACAAGCACAAAAGGACAAGCATTTGAGTAGTCA